TATCAGAGGGGACAGAAGGGACAGAAGAGAAGGAAGCTCGAGGACACATGCAAGCCTGCCTCATACAAGGCAGTTTTTAGAAACCACTTAGAAGCAATTCAGAGATTTACCAATTTAGGCCCACAATCACCAGATGGAAAAGTTTTTCTAAAGACCCATCCTTATCAGTCCACCGCAGACATTCACAGGAAACTGCAATGTAAAGCTATGGGACCTCAGACTGACCCAAATGATCTTCCAACGGCAACAACCTTGGTGTACAACAACTTGGTGTACAACAACATGTGTTTGCCCCATGTCCAGTATTTGAGATTGACTTTAGGACCAAGAGAAATAAAACTGTCATGTGATGAATTCCAAGCCATTTGTTCTATCCCTAGCCCTGAAATTAAGAGACAACCAAGAGTGTTTTGGGGCATGGGTGCTCAATGTAGAATCTGGATTCCCTATTTCAGTAATCTTGCTCAACCTCTTGATGAGGCCCCTAAAGGAGAATAGAAGAACCTGCATGGGACAGCACCTGTGAAAAGGTCCGAAAATTTCTCAGACAGGTCCTAACGAGAGCTCCTGCACTAGGTCTGCCTAATATAGGTCTACCTCCTGTATGATATAGAGGAAAACATACTAGCTACTGGCGTGTTGTTCCAGTTTATGGGATCTGAGCCTAGACCTGTAGCATATCTGCCCAAGAATCTAGACACAGTCGCAGCAGGCTGACCTCATTCTCTGAAGGTGGTGGCAGTCGCTGCCATGCTGGTTGACGAGGTCCCAAAGTTTGACATTTACAAGGACAATTACAATTAGGGCTTCCTACTCATTCGGGCCCTTGCTCTTAAATCAAGGAAGTAGATGGGAAATTCTAGATGTTAAATTGTATCAGTTGATTATGCTAGAAAAATCCCAAGGCTGTTTTGGAAGTATGCAGCGCTTAATCCAGCTCCCCTACTGCCTGTTACAGGAGACAGGGTCAGATCTTGAACACAACTGTGAGGAAGCTTTGCAGTTCATTTATGCTGACAGCCAGACTTAAGTGACAGCCCCTTAGAGGACTCAGATGGTGGATGGTTCACTGAAGGAAGCAGCTGCGTAATGAACGGGGAAAGGCATGCTGGCTATGTATGCAGTAGTGTCCCTCTCAGAAGTAATTGAAAGCTCACCTTTTCCTCCAGATAATTCAGCCCAGAAGGCAGAGCTAATGGCCTTCACATGAGCCTTAGAGCGAGCAGAAGGAAAACATGTCCAGATTTATTTGGACAGTAAATATTGTTTAATTATTTATTCACATGGAAAAATATGGAAAGAGAGGATTGTTATCGGCCCCAAATATTCCTATCAAGTATGGGCCATAGGCTTTTACAAGCAGTGCACTTGCCACTGAAATGATTATTTACACACTGCAGGGGACACCAGAAAGAAGGGAAAATAGCTGAGGGAAATAAAAAAGCTGATCTAGAGGCAAAATCAGCCAGCTGACGACCATCCCAGACTCTTCTTGTCTTAATTCACCAACCTTTGTCTCTAGAAGAGGGAGAAAAGCCCCCAAATTCAGGAGAACAGTGGCCACAAGATCAAGGACTGCTCAGAGAAGCAACAGGTTATGGGTTTAAGAGGAGATAACTTATATTCCAGCAGGTCTTGCTTGGAAATTCCTCCATACTAGCCCGGCAGCACTCTTTAAATCAGCCCAAAGAGCATTTATCACTAAAAGATTAAAAAGACTCTCCAAGAAAGCAAGTCAGACATGTGCCCTTTGTCAGCCGAAAAAAGCCCACAAGGAAGTACAAGCTCTCTTCTGATTTTACAACCGTGCAGGGGGAAGGCAGGTACCCTGGGAAAGATTGGCAGGCAGATTTTGCTGCAATGGCACACTGTAAAGCTGTGGTTCTCAACCTTCCTAATGCCTCGAGCCTTTCATACAGTTCTTCATGTTGTGGTAACCCCCAACCATAAAACTACTTTCGTTGATACTTCATCACTGTCATTTTACTACTGTTATGAATCGTAATGTAAATATCTGATATGCAGGATGCATTTTCATTGCTCCAAATTGAACATAATTAAAGCATAGTGATTAATCACAAAACAATGTTTTTGTGATTATTGTGAAATATTTATTTCTAATTACAAATAAATTAAATTTTATCTTGAAGCATGGGTAACAGTCTTCACGCCAGGTATGTGGCATATGTGGGCGTATCTGCATGTGGGCGGACCCACCTGGAGACAGAGGATCAGTGTCTGGGTTCCTAACACCATGGGAAATATGTGTGTTTCTGATGGTCTTAGGCGACCCCTTTGGAAAAGGGTCGTTCGACCCCCAGGTTGAGAACCGCTACTGTAAAGGATGTCAGTATCTCCTAGGCCTAGTAGAGACATTTTTAGGATGGGTTGAAACCTATCCCACTGGAACAGAGAAGGTCACAGAAGTAGCAAAGGTAGTGTTACAAGAAATCACTCCGAAAGTCATACTGCCCCAAAGCATGCAAAATGATAATGGGCCAGCTGGTGTGTCAAGAATAACTCAATCAAATAATAAATAAACAAACAAATAAATAACTCAATCACCTTCCCAAGCAAAAATCATATTTTCTGTATACAGCCTACCATCCACAGTCTCAGGTAGAGAGGATGTATCTGACCTGACACTCAGGCAGACACTATTGAAACTGTGTCAGGTTACACACAAACTGGATAAATTGTTTCCTATAGCTCTTATGAGAATCAGAGCCTCCATTCTGCCTCAAAGGTATCACCACCGAGAGTTCACGCCACCAGTTCATGTATGGCAGGCTCTTTTCCATGTAAGTACTGAGACCCACGGAGGCGAGTTTCTTTCGTAAACATATTATAGACGTGGGAAAAGAGCAGCAAACCTTACAAGACGATGCCCCGAAAATAGTCCCAGGACCAACTCTTTTAGACATCCAATCTCCTATCCAGCCTGGAGATGGGGTTCTTGTAAAAAGCTGCAAAGAATGAGGAGCTGATGCCGGGGGCTTACCCGGAGAGCAAATGTTTTGAGAATGATGAGGGCAATGAATGCGCAAAGGTGCTTTACAAAATCGATGTATGTGTGGATTGTGATGAGTTGTATGAGCCCCCAATAAAATGATTAAAAAAAGAAAGAAATCAGTCACAAAAAAGTAAGTAAATAAATGTTATTTTTAAAAGCTGCAAAGAGCAGGGTTTAGTGACAAGGTACTAAAAATGAATCTAATACCCACACTAAATATCGAATCTAATACCCATGCTATAGCGAACCTATTTTGTGCGATTTAGATTATGGCAAAAAAGCTGCAAACAAGATCACTTGGCATATTTGCTCAGTTTGTAGGATGAGTTCCAATACCCGTCAGCCTCGGAGCTCAGACCTGCAGAAGACAACCAGCTTACTAGAGCAGAGAGACTCAAATGTGTGCCAAAGTTCAACTCATTCCCTACCTGGTAGGCAGCCCACGGGGCGGGGTGGCAGGACTTCCCACATTCAGGACTGTGCTTCTTGGGCACTTTCGTTCTTGCCCAGTCTCTCAGCTTCCCCTGTGCTCGCCGGCACCGTAAGTCACATTTTCCTCCGACTTTCCCGGGTGGAGAGGGGAACAGGAAGAGAACGGCCCGTTCACGGTTTCTTGCTTCAAAGAACACAGCGAGAATGTTCTAAAGTTACATTAACGAACAGGTTTTCCAGACATCCTACTGTCCACAGCCCAGAGCTTTTAACGTCCTCTCTCGTCCTCTTTTTAAAGACTGGCTCCCTTCTTAAAGGGACCTGGATAGACGCCCCCTGCTCCACCGGCCTTTCGGTCAGGGCAAGCGTCGTGCGGACGTCCGGAGGGCGAGGCAAGTGTTTTGAGGAGACTTGTCATTGGCCCCAGGAGGAGAAGTGAAGCTGCAACTGCGTGGGGGCGGTGGGCTTCGCGCGGGGAAGCGCCGGCCGGCCCCGAGCCGCGTGCTGGAAGCTCTGCGGGGGACGAGCCCGGGAGCCTGGGCGAGGGCTTGGGATCCCGGATTGCGGAGGCCCCAGCGACTTTCCGGCCCCACAGCCCCACCCACGACGCACGCGGTCGCCCCCGAAGCTCGTGGAAGACACCTTGTCCCCGCCCCTCCACAGGTCACCTCCCGCCACGCCCCTTTTCCTTGGCCCCGGCAGCCGGCAGGCAGGGAAGTGTCGTAAAGGCAGGCCCAGGAAACTTTACCCCGGGTAACAGCCGGAGCGCTTTACGGCGGCGGCGACTGAGAGTGAGCCTTGGCGGCGGTGGAGGCGGCCGTGGCCGAGGAGGAAGAGGCGAGGCGGCGGCAGCGGCGGGG